ATCCCGGGTCTGGTCAAGTGGGATTCGTGGTGGACAAAATGGCGCTGGAGCAGTTTTTCTCCTAGTACTTCGGTTTCCCCTGCCAATCTTCATTCCACCAATTGCTCCACAATCACCCTCATCTATCATCTGGGGCTGGTACAATAGGCCAGAAGTGGCCGCAGTACAAGGGACTTAGTCCCATCCCACTAGCAATAAAAAAATTATGTATCCGTATACAAGCACTATATGTGCACATAAGGAGGATACGTGGCGGCTGTCCCGAGTCATGATATTTTGGCTTTGCACGCATGGGTTATTCCTTTTCTTAATCGCCAAATGAGGAAATAACCTCGCAGATGAAAGTCACATTCAAAATTGTGCATTTCATCATTAACTCAGAAGAGCAAAATTGCTTTATCCTTCTCTGAAGACATTACATTTTATCATTCCAACGCCTTTTGTCATATTTGCCTCGCCAAAGGGACGAGCGACTGAAGCTTGGGAATCATCTATTAACATAATGCTCTTCCTCCACTCCAGATAAATTGACTCTCAATTCTTCCACGACTTCTTCTTTTTACTGATCTTCTACTATTATTTATTGCATCTCTGTTACTACTCGAAACAACGGCTGCTCAGAGACTGGAATGAGAGCGAGGACAAATTCTTATTCTTTCTTTACACTACATATCGCCCATAAATACTGCTGCCTGAATGAGTAACTTCTCTCGGTCTGATGAAGCGCTGTACAGAATTTACACCATGAAACGTAACTTCGTTAATATAGATCCTTCGTCAGGATCCGTCGGCGTGTTTCCGCGTGTCCTCTCCAGTAGAACCAGGACTTATTTGCAAAAATAGAAGTCAATTCGAGGTGAAGTTAAACACAGTCAACAAACTGAAGTCACTAGTGATAGAAATGACTGGCTACATGACTAAACAAAGATTGCTCGTCTGTGATCGTGTAGGACTGCAGTTTCAGTAATTTGGGTGCTGGTCTCGCGGCCTCTTTTGGAATTTTCATATATTGCGCAAGGCATTTCTGGGGATGAAAAGGCGAATATTAAAGCCGATTTACGATATCGACTTATAATCGATGTTGACGTTGTGTTTTCCTGTCTATTAATACGCCACTTCTTACATTATCGACAAGGCCGTGAATGCATTTCTGTGGGAAACTCGAAGCTAAGAAGGATTTCTTCTGCATTTTCTTCCCTACTTCTTAGGGGACTTGCGCTTCACGTAACTGCTGTAATGTACACACGTCCGTGTTCAATAAGAAGGGAACCTTGAGAAAAGCCCCCCAAAATATGCCGACTACGTGCTTAGAAAACCATAGTTGTGCATAACTTTGTATACAATGAAGAGCTTGACCACGAGCTGATATAGTCGTTTCCTATTTAAGTGAAACGGACATGTGAACACCAAGCCGACACCGGAGCACATATATTCCACATATTTTTCATGAAGATCCACTCCATGAACTGGAAATTTATGTTCGACATTCCTTTATTGCGAGGAGGATTATGGTTTTTGTGTGTTTGATACAGATGCAATTAGTTCTAAGAAATATGTTTGGTGTGTATCACGCGAGCCAATAATCTTCACTATGCTTTGCAGGCAAGGCTACACCCAGCGCAGTAAGAGTGCGCACTGGAAAAGTCCTTTTTAAAACATTAAAAAACTGAGGCTACAGCCAAGCCGGGATAGCGACTAGCTACAGGCTTGACGACCGAGAGGTCGGAGTTCAAGTCCGTATAAGGTCAAGAATTTTTTCTTCTCAATTTTGTTCAGATCGACTCTGGGGCCCACCCAACCTCTTATCCAATTGGTACCGTGGACTCTTTCCCCGTGGATAAAGCGGTCGGGGCGTGAAGCTAACCACTCACTTCCAGCTAGTGCCGAGGTCAAGAAAATGTGGATCTATTTATCCACTCCCCATACGTCTTCATGGCGTAGTGCTTAATTAGTTAAGCACAGAGACAGCTTCACTGTTCTTTACTTTACAGCCAAGTGAGTACAGTGTCCGCTACGAGCTTTGCGACAAAATTCCTTATTCCCACTACGGACAGTGAGTTTTCCCCTGCTACTCCCATACAGGCTGTGGGGTCCTATCAGTTTTCGTTCAACGAATGGGTGCTTGGGAAAAGTATCGGAGCGTGAAGCTGACGTCACACTTCTAACTGGTGCTGAAGTTACGATTTCCCGATATTTCATTTACGCTCCCGAATACATCGGTCATTGGATTTTTTTTTTCAATTTACCTAATACTTCCAGCCGTACTATGGCCCTGGGGTCAACTCAGCCTCCAACGGAAATATGTACCAGGAAAGTTCTTGGAATGTTCTTGGGGGTAAAGCGCGGCTTGCGCGTGAGGCTGACAATCTTACCGCCATCTATGAGCCGTTTGTCCAGAAAATGTGGGAATCTCAACATATCACAACCCTATGGACCTCCACGGCCTGGTACAGGGATAGCATTACTTTTTATACATCATCAAAACTTTTTACATACGAAAATGGGAAAATGTGCATAATCATGCTAGGCGGTTGTTAAATAATATTTGAAGTGACCAAATTAGCTCCATGGAGCATATTCCATGCTGAGAAGTTAACGTTTGTTCCTCTAGAAATAGAATTCCCGCTTTTATTGGATCGAAGTGTCGTTACTCTCTTCACGAGAGACCGCATTGGTCTCTGTCCTGAGCCGCGCAAGGTTCATAGAAATTTCCAGTGGCTACAGGGCGGCACGTAACGACCGCACTTCTTCATGCTCCTGCAGTTTGGAGAGAAAATTCGTTTGTATTTAGTTTCTTTCATAATAACGTTACCATGAGAATAGAGGAAGTTGTAGTTCCTGGTACAGAATTCACTGAGCTATTATCGTGTTCTAAGGTGTCATTGATAGTGCATTTTCTAGTTTCATACTCATTCCACACAGCGACCTATTTCCAATCCCGTCGTTGGGTATAACAGACTATTTCCTGCGTGGAGCGCACATGATTTCTCTATTCATCTCGGTGTTCCTTCTCTTATCGTATTCCTTTTTTGTTTTAATCTCCTTTATTGACAATCAGATAGTATAGTCTTTTAGTCAATTTGCTGTCTTGTATACAATTTTTTAAGAATTGTACACTTCAGTGGCTTCAGTGGGTCACTTCCATCGACGCGTCCCTCAGATTTTTAGGTCTTCTGGCTACTTTCGTCGAATTCTTCTGTGGCCGCGTTTTGGGGTGGTTAACTAATTTGTTGAAGGGTTTGATGCTGTCTTCTTTGATGACTTCTGTGACGTATGTAGTTTTGAGGTCTGTGTGAATGTTGTGGTTAGACACGTACCATGGGGCGTTTACAATGAGACGTAGAATTTTTTATTGAGTTCATTGGATGTGATCTATATTTGATTTGCTGGCGCATACCCAGAGCTGGGTTCCGTATGTCCATATTGGTTTGATGACTGATTTGTATATTAGCAGCTTGTCAGGGGATAGGTGTGTTTTTTTTTTCTATGAGCCAATATAAGTCTTTGATTTTTTGATCCATTTGTTTTCTTTTCGTGAGGATGTGTTGTTTCCAGTTGAACTTGCTGGCAAAGGTATGTCCTTGATACTTATCCTATTCTTCATTAATTTATTTGACAAGGAAGAATGAAAGGTTGAATGGTTTGGCGATATGTGTGACGGTTAGCCGTCTGTCTCTCTGTAAGAGGAAGCAGAGCTGCGGCAGTAGAGTAAGGCACTGCACTGTGCAACATGAATAGTTTTCGAGTGAAAATAAGAGCTGGAACAGATATTCACTGTGGGATTTGTAAGTGGGGAATATAGATGTGTAAGCTATTTGGATATTTGGAACAAGAGAGGGGATTCTAGTGGTCAGTGGCTCTACAGAGCCCACTCAGACAGACATGCCTGGGAAATCAATACACAGAAGCGGGCAAGCTAGTGTTTGCCGCAACATGTCTTGCGAACCAGCCACGTGCACAAAAAGGAACTCGTCTCGTAACAATTTAAATTTGGGTGTGCTGCAGGGATTCAGACATATCTGAATTGAGAATTCTTCTAAGGAACGCACATTGAATCCGTAAAGGGGTTTTAAGAGATAAGGGGCTCCCAGTGCAGTGAAAATTAAGAACCTGGGGCACGCGTTAGCGTAGTTGGTTGAAGCACTATGCTACAAGCCGGAAGGTCGCGGGTTCAAGTCCCGATGAGGTCAGTGGATTTTTTCAATTGACCTAATCCTTCCAGCCGCATTATGGCCCTAGGGTTGACTCAGCCTCTAACAGAAATGAGTACCAGGAATTAATTAAATAATTTTCCTGTGGAGTAAAGCGCGGCCGGCGCGTAAGGCTGACAACCTTACCGCCACCTATGAGCCAACTGTCTAGATAATGTGGGATCCTCAACATCTCACAACCCTATGGGCCTTCACGGCCTGGTACAGGGATAGCTTTACTTACTTTTTTATTTACATAACCTGTGCTGTGTTTATTAGCAGCGAAGTTTTCTACTGTTACCTGGGTTGCATCTTTAAACATAAAACACGAATTCTATTGCAGAGCTCTTAATGCAAGGGAGCCGGTGTGTGTCTGTGTATTTAAACTTAGCACAGTACCTATCAACGGATATGTGAAAGGAGTTATATAATATAATACAATGTAGCAATCCATTTGGAAACATGACACAACGTAAAAAATTTTATAAGATAGAGCGTATTACGGTCTGATACATGCTGCATCATGTTTCAGCGTAATGTTAGTACTACTGCATTAACTTCCTCCTACCGTTATCATCTCCGTATTCTGCAGTCGCTATTGAAGCAGATAAATCAAGCCGAAATATCGTATTGTACTCTCCTTCGGGGTTTTTTTTTATTACATGTTGAAACGTAGAGGAACTTGTTGCATCACTAGGGAACTAGTTTGTCTGTATGGCGCCTCCTTCCGTTCGTACTAAGGCGCAGCGCGTGCGCAGAATTGTGGGTACGTTGGTTGGGCTTTGCTGTTCCCCTCCTGAGGCTCCTGAGCGTGCAGTTCGGCTGTGGTGCTTGTGATGTTTGCTGGGGTTGCAGTGTCTAGACATGGCTGCAGACGCCACGTGAGAACAGTTGACGCGAACATGCCGAGTTTGCTTCAGCACTGCCTGCTGGTAGTGGCGGGAGTGCTTGGGGCTTTAGCCAATCTGGCGGTAGTGGATCCACCATCATGCCCCGACTTGTGTGTGTGCCGTAGTGATGAGGAACAAACAGTGGGTCGTCGAGCCAAGTCGATCACGTGTTCAGGTATTGGCCAAGGCGAACTGTCAATGATGTCTCATATTAGTTCTACCGTGGAAGTGCTCCGAATATCAAACACAAGTATTCGTCGAGTGGATTTTTTTACTTTCCGGCGATTGCCAGGTCTTTTGTTGCTAGACTTGAACAGCAACGGTATTAACGAGATCGCGGGAACAGGCAAGACGTTACCTAAGCTCAGATCATTGGACCTCAGTGGAAACAGTCTTCATATAATACAACCGTATAGTTTCCGTGATTTTCCTGAGCTAAGAAGTTTAGATCTTTCTGCAAATGGATTGCATACGATCTCCCCATCGTGCTTTCTGCTGCCTGTTCTCAGAGTGCTAGACCTTCATCACAACCGGCTGTCAGTATTGAAGGCACATTTCTTCGCAGACACTCCCAACTTGCAAGAAGTGTACCTGGCAAGTAACGCACTGTCTCGAATTCCAAGTTTCGTATTCGAACACAATTTACACATACTTGATCTTTCCAATAATCACATTATGCGACTTGAAGACAGCGCCTTTGAGGGTATCAACATCTCTGGTCATTTGAATCTTGCACAAAATGCGCTTCGCCGTATGCCGAACACCGCACTTAAGCGTCTTGGCCATGTTCAACTTTTAGTGCTGGACGCTAACTTGTTCCACGTGTTTGATGCTGGTGCAATTGTCGGTCTGTCAGTTAGATCGCTCAGCGTTTCAAATCATAGATATCTGCAGTTGATTCACAGAGAAGCTTTCCTCAATTTGATCGACCTGGAGGAGTTACGAATTCGTGGTAATCCAGCACTGACATACGTTCATCCGCAAAGTTTGGTGAATTCGCCTAAATTGCGGATTTTAGATCTTTCAAATAATTCTCTTATTACCTTGGAACAGGAGCTACTGCAAGGAACACCAGAGGTGACTGAACTTCGCGTCGCCAACAATAAATTTATTTGTCATTGTAGTTTGTCATGGCTACAGAATATGACACAAGACGAAGTGTTCTGTTCGCAGATAAATGATGGTAGTCTCCTATCACTAATGCAGCTTCCTCACGCTTCTTCCAGCTGCATCCCATACATAATACCTCTATTCCCTGTATCTTACCACGAAACCATCGGCAATAATGCATCCTTTCACTGCCGAGCTCTTGGTAAGCCGGACGTAAAAGTAAACTGGTTTTTGAAGACTGGACAGCGTCTTTATAATGGAAAATGTGCTGGAAGATTTTGTGTTGCCGATCACACACTCACTGTTCATTACTTGCACAACGATGACAGTGGATCTTACAAGTGCGTGGCTAGGAACGAAATCGGTGAGGACAGTCGATCAGTGGAACTTCACGTACGTGATATTAACGTGCACCTGATCCCGTTATCAATCACGTCGACGTTCGTCACGCTATCGTGGAATATGTCAAGTTCCGTCTCTAACAGCTACACGTTAAGATACGAAGAAACTCTTAAGGAAAACAGTGATATTCTTACAACAACAGTTCCAAATTATCAATCTGTGACATTCTCTGTGGGTCTGAAGATGCACTCCTACACCATACACGGACTCAAACCGGGGACTACGTATTCATTCTCTCTCTGTATTCAACGCGAAGAATACACGTTGGTGATTTCGACAATTTCGGTTACTACTCGAAGAGAAAGCTTCTTGCTGACTCTCGGTATCGAACGTAGTTATTTAAGCGTTATTCTAATAAGCGTGGTGATGGGGATCATTCTGGCCACGTGCATTACGTTCTGTGGACTGCGTTGTTGGCGACAGCGGCTCAAACTCCAGCAGCAGTCTGCCCAGCTGAGGAAGAGTGAGTCCGGGTACTCGGGACGCTCCATCCTGCAGTCTTCGTCCACTCACTCCGACATGGCTTTCATCACCTACATCAGCCTGACAGACGACACGCTCTTCGCAGATCAAAGTACAGAAAGTAACCTCATGGGCTTCGCGTGACGAAACTGAGAAGTGAGACCGAATTGAGAAGAATGTGTCTTGTCCCCTTATTTACAGCATCGTAACTGACAACATCCGAGAGCTAAAGAGGGATATCGAAAATGTTTCTTCAATGTTAGAATAAAACATAGCTAATTATACGTAAAGATTTTCAGTTGATATATGCGCGAGTGTCTCTACTTGTTTTGGTGGCTTGACAAAGAAGTGCCCCTCTTCAAGCAACATCCACAGTGTCTATTGGTGCAATGTGCGTCGAGTGCATGGACGGGGGGGCTATACAGGGGTGTCTTGGTGCTAGAAGACATTGCGATTGGTGCCGCCTTTGCGATAAAATTATATATAAGGTTAACTCAAATTAATTTTTATATATACCAATTTGTGAAATATATTCTAAATCTATATACAACTTCTAGGTCACACTAGAAATAAGTTATATGCAGATTTTCGAGTTGTCTGTATCAGCTAGAAGGATATATTCATGCATAGCGTTAGAAACCCCAAACCGAAAGGAACAGTGGCAGTGGGGGATGCGTTTCTCTGTTATTGAGCGGTTTGTTCTGAAGATAATCTTTGGTCACCGTGTTCCTCGCTTACTTTTTTTGCACATACTTTGGTACAACGCAACGGAAGTAACGTGCCGTTGTTCGGGGAACACTGTACTTTGTCTGTAAAACAACTTGAGTAGATGATAATACAATAGGCCTCAAATAGGCAGACCAGTTCTGTGTTCAATGCAATAGGCTACTTACAGACGAGCGATAACGAACCTTTTTCAACCAGCGCTCCCTTGTGTCTAGGAGAGAAATTTCATCTTTTCAGTGAGGAATACAATTTTATTTAAAAATACATATTATCACGAGTTATAAACATATCAAATTACATAGACTCATTTTAAACAAATTGTATTTATTTAATGAACAATAAACACGGTACAAAAGGAAGTTTTCGAGGCTTTATTGAGGTCCTTTCGATATATATTAGACATTGCACGAAATATAAAGCGCTTATGAGGTTTTATGTGCCACCTGAGGGAACGTGTACGTACAGCTCGGAACAGCTGCCTTAGACAAACTGACTGTATCCACCAACAAAATATTTAAACATACGTATATATCATACCGAGAGATTTAAATGAATTTTAACCGGCTAAGATGAATCTCATAATGATATGTATGTAGTAATATAAACTCGTATACCTGTAATATCATATCGACTTTTGTATGCATGACAAAGAGTGGGGTTTTATCGATAATTATGGAGTAAGTCAACTTCATTAGGAATCTTCATTGGAACTTGCTGTCTGATGTTTGTCACTGTGGTTAAGAGTGGAAAACGGAAGTCTGCCCTTCCCTTTGGAAACAGACACTATTAAACCACTGATAAATTAATAAATGACTAAATGACGAATTTGGAGAACATAACAAAACAGAGAACATGTGTAATGGATGTAGTGATATACTCTGTCGGTCGCTATATGTGTCAGTAACCTCATCGTGACAGAAAGGACATTAGTAATTTTGTAATAATATACATGATGTGAAAGTAATTGTTTTATTAGATGCAGTGACCACAGTAATTTTATGGACGGTGGAAAATGTTCTTACTGATCTCTTGTGCAGAGTTGCACAACACTCAGGTACTTATGTAAACATTTGTTATGGAACTTCAAAACAATTACCCAAATTGAAGAGAGTGAATTTTTCATTACCTTACACCTATTGAAATCAGATGGGATGGACACAAGAAATAAAATTATCACATTGAGAAGTGACACTTGTGTTTAATTACTTGAAACTTTTTTTCCAGCGGTTTAGTATCCTCTGCTCGACTAGCTCATGTATTACACAAATTTTAATTTTCTTAAAAGTAATTTGAGTTCAAATCTTTCACTTTTATTTAGACCGCTACTGCCGGTGTTGAAGTCTCTTAACTGTAATAATAAAGTAAAGTTATTCCTTTTTTTAGTTTAAAATTCAAGGCGTGGGGAGATATGGAGGAAATGAATTAAGACTCCCGGTATTCTTAACTTGGACAACAGACGAAGATTAAAATAATAATAATAATAATAATAATAAAGTAAAGTTATTCCTTTTTTAGTTTAAAATTCAAGGCGTGGGGAGATATGGAGGAAATGAATTAAGACTCCCGGTATTCTTAACTTGGACAACAGACGAAGATGAGTGGTTAGCTTCATGCTTCTGCCGCTTTACCCCTGGCAAAAAAGCGCTTGGTATGCATTGGATAGGAGGCTGGCTGCACCAAGATTCTGAAGGTGGTGGCAAGGAGAGAATTGTCTGACTCGGCAAGGAATCGAACTCCTACAGCCGAGCCACGACCGTGAGATCCTCAAATATTAAGAATATTTTCTTNAATAAGCCATTGCGTTCCCTAAAGGCAGGGAACCTCTTGAAGGTTGGTGATTTAGTTAAATAATTAGTTGTCAGTTACTTATTATGTTATTCACTTAGATAATTTTACAATATTATATTTAAGCATCCTGTTACACTCTATACGATATAAATTCCGTCCTAAGTGCAACAATTTATTGTAGGTCTTTCGTTTTGCTTCTACACTACATGTTTCGGCCGCAAACGGCCATCATCAGGTGTATGTACATGTAGTGTAGAAGAAAGCAAAACGAAAGACCTACAATAAATTGTTGCACTTAGGACGGAATTTATATCGTATAGAGTGTAACAGGATGCTTAAATATAATATTGTAAAATTATCTAAGTGAATAACATAATAAGTAACTGACAACTAATTATTTAACTAAATCACCAACCTTCAAGAGGTTCCCTGCCTTTAGGGAACGCAATGGCTTATTAGTCCTGTCTTGCACACAAGAGCCCACAAAACCTTATCTGTGGGCAAAATACTGGGAAGTTTCAGTACTATATGATTTCTGATCACGTTTTATTTCTTTTTATTATTCATTGCGAGGCTCTCAGATTATATTTGTTAAAATCAAATTTGTAGCTTCCTAAATTATTTGATAAATGTAACACAGTAATTAATTTCATTAACAAAACCAATCTGGCACTGATATGGAGTAATCAGTTTCCCCATTAATTAAAGCAACAATATCATCTTGTTCCTGATGATCCTCCGGCATGCTGTTAGTGCCCAATATTACACTTTGTCGTGTTTCCGTTTCCTCCTGTTTCCATCCGACTGCTCTCCAAACACCGCTGATCACTGAAATGGATTATGGGTTGGGGGACGGGTCTTTTCATCAATATCCCCCCGTCATTACGTGAAGTGAAACCAAACTAAACGTAGAAACACTTCATTGTACGCTTTACAGCTGTACACAGACCTATACTTGGCTGTTCTGGTCTGCGACTGTATGTTTCAAAATATACAGGGTGTCCCAGGAGGAATGTGCCAGACTTCGGGAGGGTGTTCCTTATGTTAAAGTATGCCGATATATCCCAAAACTCCTATGTTTTCTGGCAGGTCTACGCACTGTACCTGTCAGCTGACAAGTCTTGTCGATGTTTGTCCTTGAGTGTGGTGATGACGGTTCGCACTCGCATACCAGAATGCGCAGTCAGCCATGTTACGTCAGTGCTTGCTATACATATGTCATGTATAGTGCTTGGAACCCTAACGACAATTATGAAATGATGTGCGAGTTTTTTTGTAGTTCAATTTAATGGCTTCATGTCACTCACAAGTTAGTTTGATGTTACGTATATTATTAACATTACAGAAACCACATATTCCTGCCAGTTTTAATATGTATTTGGTAATCAACAAGTGTGTAACACCTGTCAAAGTTTCACACTTCTCTGGCTATTATCTCCGTAACCGTTCAACTTTGAACATAGGTGTTTTGGGTTAATATTTGCATACTTTAACATAAGGAACATTCTATATATTTTGAAGAGAGGAAGGAACGAGGTGGAGGGGAGTATTTACATTCTTAGAACTGGACAAACGTCTCTTAAAATAGGAAGACGGAAACTGACTGGCTGGTGTAGGGGTAATGCTATGAACTTGTACCCTGGAGGCTTTCCCTTCGCATCTCGGCCGGGGTTCCTGCCATCCTGGCAGGTTTTATGTGGCCTTCCCGTCCCATCCAGGTAAATACCAGGATAACGCTGTGATAAGACTACCGCCTCCTCCACAGTTGAAATTAATTATTCATGAATCACTGACGCTACTTAGCCCTAACCCTTGGCACGCTTTTCCTTCGCTTCTCTTCACGCTGATAACAGTGTGAAGTGACGCACTGTGTCGGTAACAGGGCGTTTGAGAAGAAATGCCTCTCTAGGGGAAACGGTTTCTTGTGAGTGTACAAGGATTATTTTAGGCTTAAATCCAAGATATTTCTTCGATTCTTACTGGACTGGCCGGGACAGAACACAAGAACCGGGACACTATATTTTTTACAAGGCATTTAAGATTTTCGGTTCTTCTTTCGTTGAGGTACTCATTCAAAAGTACAGTAGTACCTGCTACCGCATTGAGAAACCCTGCACTTTGCCTGCTGAGTGCACATACGGGCTTCGTAATTGCTTATTTATTCACGCTTACTCAGTGACAGTATCAGCAAATCAGATTATGTAGCGTAGAACGGTAAGATGGTCATTGAACATCGAAATAGAAATAGTGTAGAAGGAAGCGTTCTTTATTTTATTGCTAGTGAGGTGGGACTAAGTCCCTTGTACTGCGGCCACTTCTGGCCTATTGTACCAGCCCCGGATGATAGGTGAGGGTGATTGTGGAGCAATTGGTGGAATGAAGATTAGCAGGGGAAACCGAAGTACTGGGAGAAAACCTGCCCCAGTGTCACTTTGTCCACCACAAATCCCACTTGACCAGACCCGGGATCGAACCCGGCGACTAACCGCTTGAGCTATGGCGCGGCCACTGTAATTTCATACTGACTGCCTGCTGCAGATTCCCTTCTGAGACGCCCATAGCCTCTTATGTGATCAGTAAATTTCCAGTCTTTTGTACCCACAAGGTTCATTGTCATCTTCAGAAAAAACAATCAATGGCTTATATCCTCTGACAAATAATTTTAGTCCACACCTTCAAAACCTATTTCTTTAAGAGCTCATTATCTTCCAGCTAAGCCTATTTCTCTAATATGGTCTGTTCCCTTTAGCTACTTCGGACAAAAAATTGTGAAAATTGTCTTATCCCTTACATTAGACAGAGAGGATACGTACACGAATTCATTACTCGTGTAAAGTAGACACAGAAATTAATTTTACGGCGCAAGTGTGGGACATTGTAATGCAGTAGCAATAGACTGAGAGGTCTATCCAAGGCTTTATCGTAATGTGTTACTTCCAGCTTCGTTTCGCGATAACGCTGGGATAACGAAGAAAATTTTCAAATATGTTACCAAAATTCATAATAATTATCTTGTAGTAAATGCCAATAACAGTTCCTTTTTATGACCACCATTTGATTCAAGATACCATATTTTATGACAATTTTAACCCCACCGAACCTCTAAATGAATTAATCTTTCGTAAAATCTGATACCACTTGGCAAGTAGCCAGCAAGTTATTATTTCATGCATGTAGCACGAATGGGGAGAATAGAAATGTATATAGGATATTGGTGGGAAAGCCAGAAGGAAAGAGACCACTGGGAAGACCAAGGCGTAGGTGGGTGAACAATATTAAAATGGATCTTAGAGAGATAGGATGGGATGGTGTGGATTAGATTGATCTGGCTCAGGATAGGGACCAATGAAGGGCTCTTGTGAACATGGTAATAAACTTTCGGGTTCCATAAAATGCCGGGAAATTCTTGAGTAGCTGCAGAATTGGCGGCTTCTCAAGAAGGGCTCAGCTCCGTGAGTAAGTAAGTACAATATTTTAATCAGAGTTTTTAAATCTTCGATAATTTGTTTTCTATCATGTAACTGTCATCAAAAAGTTATTGTCTGGAATGAGACTGTAATTATTTATGTTTATATTTGTTTGCGTAAGAGCTGTCAGCTAATGTGGACAAATTGGCATTTGAAGGATTCACGGAAGATCCTGTTGCGGTTAGAGCATGCCAGTAATGCTACAACATTTTGAATAAAAAAACTGATAAACCGAATTAAACCTCAGAAAAAAAACTCAGTTATATTCATCGTGATACAAAGTAGACAGTACGTGATTCCATAACCACAAACTTTAATGAAGACTGCTAGCTTCTGGGATGTGATATCTTGCACATCTTGAAGTTGACGAAGGTGAGTGTTGGTAGCAGCAACACGGCGCCGCATGTCACACATCTAATGAAACCATGCAGTTCTTGCGCGAGTCTTTCGGTGACCGTCTCATTTCGAAAGGATTTTGACCCCTACGTTCGCCTTATTTGTCACCCGCAGATATTTTCCTTTGGGGTTTCCTCGAGCATATGTTTTAAAGACATGATTTGATTTTGCATTTCTAAGATGTAAGGTTATAAACAATTATTATTATTATTATTATTGGAGGGGGTGGGTTTCCCCATGCACCGCGACTAATAGTCTATTGTACGTCCCCCTTTGATATTCTACCAGTCTCCATACCCTGCCGGTACTGGTGCTCGCTATCAGCCCCGTTCAGCCAGCGAGGCTGGCAGTGGTACCCGATACTTCCCCATCTACCGGAGGCATTGGAAACTACTTGGGCGGGAAACTTTGCCTAATTTTGCTCAGAGGTCTCCTAGAGACATGAGGATTTTTAGGCTTAAAGTCCCTCCCGGAGGACTTGTTCTCTGAATTTTTCCGCCCTTAAAAATTCCACGACCTCCGCCGGGTTTGAACCCGCGT